TCTGTAGTGAAAGAAGAGTCCTTCTTCTGATGTGCATAAAGACAGAGCACCCATATATATTAAAATACATGAATAAATAAACCTTTAAAAAATAAGAGGCCATAGTTTGTTGTTTCCCACTGCCAGATGAGGACACTGCTGATTGCAGTAGTAACCCCACCATTTTTACAATGAAGGCAGCCTCATTTTTGCCTTATCACTATTTGCTAAGGGCAGAAAAGCAGTCAGTTATCAAGATACTCTATTCCTACCCAAGCAAACTCAAAAAGCCACCAGAAAAGAAACCTCTCATGTGATCTGATCAAGGACGTGATCTGCTAAGAAAAAAATAGTGAATCAAAAACTACCTGTGCAGGGGACGTAGCCCAGAGATGGAGCACTTGCTTAGCGTGCATTGGACTGTGAGTCTGAATTCCAGCACCACCACAAAGTTGGTATCGGCACTGGTTGCAAGTCTGTGGCTGATATATGGAGACATACATGTTTTTCATTCCCTGGAAAGCTCTGGAGGTTATTCTTTTCCTAAGTACAGTGACTTTTGTTTGCACATGATCCTTCTCCTAAGGGCATTACTAATATGGAAGGAGGGTGGGAGGCCGGTAGCACGGAGATGGGAGTGTTGCCTATACAACCCAGCCTAGGCAGAGTGTTGCAAAAACGCAAACAGATTATAGTCTACTTATCTTTGCAATTTTCTGTGTTGGGGATCAAGCCGGGAGCCTCAAACCTTCTAGGCAGGCAAGCTATTACTGCAGCCCATCTGTTTTCTCATTACTGAGCAAAGCACATTCCCCTAATCCTACTGAATGGCTATACTGTTTCTCTACTAATTCAACACAGACAGACCCTGAATGCACACACACAAAAGTTCTATGAGCGTTTTACTGAATGCCTACAGCTTTTGAGTCCTTTAACTCCTGATGTGGAACCTGCTCTTGGCTTGCTATCTGCTTTCTGCCCGCCGAATGTAAATTTCATAAGGAAGACTCTGGTTTCGTTGGTCTAGGTTTCTGTTTGTTTGTTTTTTAGTGGGGGTGGATATTGAACCTGAGCCTTAGCATGGTAGGTAAGTGCTCTACCATTGAGCTACATCCCTAGCCCTAGGATTTTGTTTTGTAATTGGATACTATCCCCAGAGTTTAGTGTTAAGTTCTGGCACCCAGAAGACACACTACACGTTTGTTTTGTAACTTTTTAAAATAAGGATACTGAGAAAAAGAATCCATAAATTGTCTCATCAACAAGAAGAATCAACAAGTTATCTCAGAAGCAAAGAGTCCAGGTGGAGACCACTGCAGTCCTTTGAATGAGAGGGAGGTAAACTTTGGCCAGTGAGCCAGTGCAGTGAGGATGGAGGAAGATGAATTGATGTGAGAGGAACTTAGCAATCAAGTCAGGCCACTGAGGTGCCTCGGCCAGTAAAAGGTACTTGCTGCCAAGCCTCATGACCTGAGTTCAATTCCCAGGCTCCATATGGTGGAAGGAAAATGCTGGGGTTTTTTTGTTTTTTGTTTTTTTATTTTTTGTTTTTAAATTGTCCTCTGACTTCTTCACATGCAGACACACACAAAGTAAACAAATGTACTTTTAAGATATAATTAGAGGACCGGGGGTGGTGGCACACACCTTTAATCTTAACACTCGGGAGGCAGAGGCAGGCGGATCTCTGTGAGTTTGAGACCAGCCTGGGCTACATAGTGACATTTGTCTCAAAAAACCAAAACCAAACAAACAACCCAAACGAAACAAAACAACAAAAATGAAACAAAAATAATTAGAAAGCAAGGTAGACAGAACTTGGTGCTTAAATGTTTTGAGCCAAGGGACAAAAGCCAAATTTTCCTCTTTGAATGTGAAATAAACAGGCAACCCTGAAGAGGGATAAGTTTAGAGGCTGGTATGGAGTCCCATGTTCGGTGAGCTCCTCAGGTATCAGTGCCTAGTTCTTTCTTCCTCAACTCAGAGCGGGAGACAAAGGCCGTGCCTGACAAACAGGTTTGGGAATGAATACCACACAGAAACCTGAAGCCAGCATGCAAGAAGATGAAAGCAAGCCGCCTGTGCTCTGGGAGTCTTGGAGAAGGCTTACCAGTTACATGAAGGCAAGTCCCTAGCTCACTTGCTTGCTGGCTCGCTCCCTCCCTCCCTCCCTCCTTCCCTTTCTGATTTTCTTTTTTCTTTTCTCCTTAGGAATCAGAGCTTGCTTATTACATTGATTGGACATTTAATAAACAAACCAGTTTCATTCTTCCATCATCTCATTCAAGCCACTCCTCCTGGGACAGCATAGCTACTCAGATTTTCTATTGTCATATATAGAAAATATCCAGACCACTGAAAATTAAAATTTCCATGTCACATGGAGCCTATTTCTTTTACTTTCGATCATCAAGTAGAAGGGTTTGTCAACTTTGTTTTTTAACACTCCATATTTCTATCCATTTCCTCTCTGGGTCTTGGATTGTTCTGGTTAAGGTACGAATGTAGGAGGAAAGAAAGCACCGACAAAGTGTGTATTTGGGAACTGGCTTTCAAACGTGCCCCGCATGACAGACAACAAAATGGTCTACCTTCTGCAGGGGACCTGGGTCGCTCTCCGGAAACAGCTGTACAAACTGCGATCACGATTCAGAAGAAATTATCTAACCAACGTCTCAGAATTACCCTCAACGCCCCATCTTTTTCCCTAGCTAGGGAAATTAGCCCCAGCATATCCTACTTCTTGTGCAAGAGCATGTTGTTTCCCTGCAGTAGTCAGGGTGAGGCCCTGCCACAACAGCTCCAGAATGTCCATAGTTTTCCCTTACTTGTGTTCCAGGTCCATGGAGTGAGCATCAAGACTCCGCTTAGCATCGTCTATCAGAGCTCGGGGCTGACTGAGAAGTAGGCTCTTGCCCAGATCCTGTGATGTCTACTGCATGTGGGAAATGAGGAGCCCTGTACCACTTCAATCTCTTGACCTAAAGGGGGTGCCTCCCTTTGTGTCCAGACCCCATGGACCAAGAACTGCCTGCATACTGATTTAGTGTAAAAGGTGAGAGTGTGCAATCCACACATCGGGTGGAAAGGACTCCAGGTGACCCAAGGGAACATTCTAGACTCTCAGGACTAGGCTGTTCCACCATTTCTCCCCTCCAGCCAGCTTCTGTCTTCAGATCACGGACTTTTCAGCTCCTAGAACATTTCAGGTGTTCTAAAGGCTTATGTTTGTCTCTGGCCAAAGACATTGCTCAAACTTCCAGTTGGGGTGAGAGGTCAGTGCCATCAGCCCTTTGAGACCCTGAGTACTGTCTTAATTTTATCTCCTGGGAAATAGGACAAAGTGCTGACTTCCTCACTCAGGGAAAAGCCTTAGCCTTTCCTGATTGGCCACCAGCAGCCTATCACAGTGGCTCTAGTGAGGCCTCAGATGACCTAGGGGTACAAGAGCTTGGTCCTTCCCTAGCAAGTCACAGTTTTCCTGAATGGGGGCTACTCACCTTTCCTTCTAGTTTTAGGTTCCAACTTGAATTTGAGACATCAGGAAAAGTTCCATTTAACATTTTATTCCATCTTTAAATAGCCCGGACCAAAGAGGTAGAAGAAAATGCTTGGCCTGAATGCGTGGTCTAAGCGCCAAAGGGAATGTTTTCACAATCTGCTGAAGGCAGTAAAAACAAGGACAGAAAGTCCATTGAGTTTTGGGGGAAAGTGATGGCCTTGCCATGAAGGCTTCAGTATGAGGAAAGATCTGGAAATTACCAATAGTTGCTAAGGAGTGAAGGGAAGACAAGGATGCCAGGTCAGCGGCCACAGCGTCACACACGGAGCAGTGTGGCAACTAGGGAGAAAGAGGGTCCAGGCGATGTCACGGGACGTAAGGCAAAGAGGAAGGCTATTTTTTTTTAAATGAAAGAATTAATTATGCTGAACTGCTAACACAGTCTTTTTTTTTTTTAAGGAGAGAATGAGAGATAATTGGAAGATGGTTTTCGTCTTTTTTTCCCCCTTCATCTCAGAAGGAAAACACACCTACATAACTGATGTTAAAATTCGCAGCGGAGATGCTGGCTGGCAACAGGAGCCAGTGCTGGGGTGGGGGTGAGGGGGGGGAGGAGGAGGAGAAAGAGGGGAGGAATCGGACATTGCCAGTGTGGATCCTATGGGCGCTTAGGGAGCTGTGGTTTTTCATTCAACTGAATGGCTGTGTTCACTGGGCTTTGAAGTTTTATAAACATCTTTGTGCCCTCAAGTGAAGACCTCTGTGTTCTTAGTGGGGGAACAAGGGGCTTGTAGTTTGTCCCTCCGGTGCCAGTCACACAGCTGATTAAGGTAAATGTGGCTGACTTCCTTGTTCATCACAGCAACAACCATGGTGGTGCTGGTTGGCACTTAGGTATCAGGAACCAGCCACTAGGTGCCATGCATCCTCCCAATGCCACTCAAGGACCTGCTGCCGGCTCCCTCCTGCAGATGCAAACCTTCTGATTTCTACACATTTTAAATTATTTTATATTTGGATTATTTTATGAAAACCTGCTTCCTGTGGTATGTGTGAAAAAGATGTGTCTCCACACCTCCACGGTGCTTCCAAATTTAGACATGTGACCTACTCAGTCTGATCCAGAAACATGGGAGCCTATCATCACTTAAAGCGGGTCACCATTTCCATACGTGTTCCTGTCAGCCTTCTTTTGTTTGCTTTTTGGTTTTTGTTTTGAGACAGGATTTCTCTGTGTTACCCTGGCTGTCCCGGAACTCTATAGATCAGCCTGGCCTCAATCTCAGAGATCCACCTGCCTTTGCCTCCCAAGTGCTGGAATTGAAGGTGTGTGCCACCACCACCCACCTTCTGCCGGTCTTTTTTTTTTTTAACTTTTTATTGATTCTTTGTGCATTTCACACCGTGCACCCCAATCCCATTGATTTTCCTGCCCCTCAATCTCTGCCCCTCACCCTTGCAGTGTGTCATGATGTGACTGACACTCAGTCTACCCTTTTTCCCCAGCGGTTTTACTTACAAATCTTCATTGCAATGAGTTAGGGTCTGGTTTGAGGCTCTGGCTTCTGCTATGCCCTCGATGGATCCCCACAGGGACACCTCTCGGCTATCCTGTTGTGGCCCTGTGCCATGGAGCTCCTGCTGTCTGCCACCTTTCTTCACAGTCATGAAGGCGCTAGACATGGCGAGAGCTCCTCACTGTCACGTGAAAGAACAGAAGAAATGGTGGCTGGAAGACGGTGTGTGTGATAGAAAAGCTGTCCCTTTTTTTTTTTTGGTTCCATTCTGACCCCCAAGTCATGTCATACTGAGCAACCAAATCAGACAGGCAGCCAGCACAAAACCCATCACGTCTCCACACCATGGCTGAAAGCAATGTTCCTGAAATTGGCTGTTCCCTTCGTGTAGATAAGAATGCCATGGAATGGAATCCCAAGCAGTCCACGTGCTCACGGGGCCTGGGTAAGAAGTCAACCTTCACTGGTTTATAAAGGTGGGGCTTGGGGGCTGCTGACTACTGCATGCAGTCTGGCCTTGGGCCACACGCCCCTTGCTTAAGACCCTGGAGAGACTCTGTCATCTGCAGTGGAGTCCAGGAATGTGACTCTGGCATACAGTTGAAAACCTGGCCACTATGGATGTCTCAAGACCATTCTACTCCTTAAACGAGTGATCCTCTTCAATCTCTTATGTTTTCTTTGTAATCCATGTGGGTATGGGCTTGCAGGGGCATCACCCTAGAGGCAACCCTGTGAATAATAGATCCTGGATTGGCAATGTCAAGGCTCAGCCAACCAGAGACCGAGGAACCTCGCCAGAAAATAATCTTATTCAGTTTGTCTCATAAAGAAGTTACAAGCACATACAATAGTGAAACATACTATAAACTCTTAATCCACTATTAATACTGTTAATTCAGTTTTAACAGTAAGATTTTGATGTGGAAGACTTGCTTTTTGGAACCACAATGATTTTTATTAAAATTATATAAATGTATGATAATTTTAAATATATAAAATTAATATATTTTATTATATATAAATTAAATATTAATATATATTTATATATACATTAAAAATATAAATATATATAAATTTTAAATTCTGAGAGCCTCAGATACCTCAGAGCCATCAGGGGACAGGAGATAGATGGAAGATTGGTTAGGATTGGGTCCTGCTGCGGGACATTTGCACGCCGTGTGAACACGTGTTGCTGTGAATGGTATAATAAAAGGCTGAACAGCCAGTAGTTAGGCAGGAGGTACAGGCAGGACTTCCGGGCAGAGAGAAGAAGTAGGAGAAGGAAGAGACACCAGAGGATAAAGAGAAACAGGAGGTGCAAGATAGAAGAGAGAGGGGCTGGAGAGTGGCTCAGAGGTTAAGAGCACTGACTGGTCTTCCAGAGGTCCTGAGTTCAATTCCCAGCTCACAGCCATCTGTAATGAGATCTGGCACCCTTTTCCGGCATGCAAGCATACATGGAAGGAATGTTGCATACATAATAAATAAATAAATCTTTAAAAAAAAGATAGAAGAGAGATAAAAATGAGGCAAAACATAGATTATATAAATGGGTTAATCTAAGTTATAAGAGCTCATGGCACAAGCCTAAACTAGGCCGAACTTTCATAATTAATAAGAAGTCTCTGTGCCTGGTGGGAAAGAGAAAGGCTCATTACAAGGTCCAACTCTCTGTGCTAGAAAGAATCCTAAATAACAACAGTGTATGAAATCAGAGTTCACTTCTGCTACACAGACTTAGTAAGAGTGAGCCAGGGGAGTGCAGCTCTTGAGAGCAACCAATAGCTCAGGTCTTCTTGACACTTGGCTTCACACTGCGGTCCAGAGTAGCTGTTTAGGTCAAGCCATCACATCTATTTCATTTGATAGAATGAGCGAGAGAGAGAGAGAGAGAGAGAGAGAGAGAGAGAGAGAGAGAGAGAGAGAGACTATGTCTGCTATTTAAGGAATCACACTACGTTTCTGACTGTAGTTTGTTGCCTAGGACTTGGTCATGCGATCATACTCTTAGTTGCCCTGATCTACTTAAATCAAAGATGGTATTCCTCAGGGATGAATACAGAACAGACCCCGGGGATATTTAGCAATCTGAATCATAGTTAGTGTACTGGGTTGAATAGTGTGCCCCACCTGACCCCATTTGTGTCTACCCCAAACTTCAGAACCTAACATAATCTGGAGACAGTGTCTGCATGTGTACTTAGTTAAGACTCCTGAGACGAGGGCCTTCTGGATATAGAATGGAACTTCTATCCAGTGACTGGTACTCCAGAGCAGAGGACACTGAGATCAGAGAGGAGGCCATATGAAGACGGAAACAGACACAGCAGCTATGCCGCCAGTCTCTGGGAAAGGCGATGAGGGGTTGCTCTCTAGAGCCTTCAGAGAGAGTCTACCCAGCTGCCACCTTCTTTCTTGAGCTCCGAGAGAGTGTGTTCTCAGGGTTTCCAGCCACCAAATGGGTGACAATGTGTTCCAACAGTTTGCTCTCTGCCGCTCGCTTGCTTGCGCTGATTCCCAAAGCCAAGGAGAAGCACAGAGTCACCGTGACAATGCACTGGTTGGCGCTTCATTTCGGCTGCCGTTCTTACGGTAACCCAGAGGCTGGCCAGGTTTGGGGCAGGATATCTGTGGTTCAGAATCTGGCTTCTCCTGTTCTCACCACACAGCCATGCTCTCCAACTCTGCATGGAGAAAATGGAGACGGCATGCAGTTGATTTTCACATTTAGCCCCTTCCATGTGGCAAGAGCCTTGTACACGTTTTCCCACTTAATCTTTACAGTTATCTTAAACGGGTGACAACTTCTCCACATAACCAGTGGGGAAGCAGCATGAAAGAGGTGGGGTGTCTGTCTGTGGAGGGCAGAGGCAGTGTCTAGACCTGGGTCTGTCTGGCTCTCCAGTTCAAATTCTCCCCCACGGCAGTGATCCGGCTCAGGATAACCATGTTGTTTATCTAACCGAGCACTTTGGGCCAGAGGTCAGTTCATTTACAGAGGGAATGAAATTTTCCCACTTCCCCAGGGTCGGATGATTCAGTGGGGATAAACTCCACATCTTTCCTGTGCTGGGCAATGAAAGGAGATGAGCTATATGAAACCACCCTCCTCAGATTGCTTGCCTTTGTTACTTGTCTGCATCGGCGAGGGACGAGGAGACTCTAGGGGACAGTATGAGTGTCTGTGACCACTGGCTTCTACACATGCCCCGTAACACAATCAGTCGGGGAAATTTCTGGAGATTAAGATCCCCTAGACTCCACCCGAGGCTTTGGGAGAAGAATATCGAAGAACGTACTCCCAGGGCTGCATTTTTTAAAAAGATTTATTTATTTTTATTTTATGTGTATGGATGGGTGTTCCTCTTGTTTGCATATCTGCATACTAAATGCGTGCAATGCCCACAGGGGCTAGAAAAGAACTGAAGTCCCCTGGAAATGGAGTTAGAGATGGTTGTGAGCCATTATGTAGGTGTCAGGAATTGAACCCAGGTCCTCTGGAAGAACACAGTAGGGTCTCTTAACCACTGAGCTTTCTCTCTAGCCCGATGGACTACATTTTTTTTTTAAAAAAAAGAGCTCCGTAGGTGATGCTTATGCTGAGCTACTAACTAGGTGGCTGCATCCAGTGTTTTACTTCCTTTATATAGAGTACCTTAAACATTAGTGATGAATGAAAATACTAGCTACGTGGAATAATAGGGTTAGTTGTTTTCTTAATGGTGTTGTATAGTATGTCGAATTGAGGAGTTCATTATAGGAATGCTGTTTAGACAGGGTCCAGGTCCATACATTGTCCTTCTGGAGAAAGAACAATGCCTTCTACTCCTCTGATAAATATGACAGCAGATGACAAAGAAGCCACATCACGTCATTTCTATCACTGTTCTGTGTCTTCAGCAGCTGCACACAACCCATCTCAGGGCCTGCTGTGAGCTGCATCTTTAGACTGGAAGGCCTGTCTCTGAGGTTCCTAAATGGAGTGTTTTTAGAGCTCTCCTGCTCAGTGAGGCTACTCGGACACCATGCTCCTACAGTTTCCCTGCAGCACCCACCATGTCTTCATCCTATGGACTTCCTAGCTCCCTCTCTCCTCCACCGGGAAGGAGCTGCACACCCCCGAGACCAGCGTTGTGTCCAAGCACCCAGACACAGAACGCCCAACACTAAGTGACTAAGCCCCACACTCCCTGCGAAGTGTGGAATTAATATCGGAGCCTTTTGAAAGTTTGCATGAAAAATATTTTAGTGGTATACATGCAAATACTTCTCAGCAATATTTATCCTGATACTATTTCTTCGTTTTTGGTAACAGGTTGAGCTAGGTCTGCTCTAAGATGCCTCTCAATTTGGAAGAAGAAGAAGGAGAAGGAGGAGAGGAGGAGAAAGAGGAGAAGGAGGAGAAGGAAGAGGAGGAGGAGGAGGAGAGAAGAAGAAGAAGAAGAAGAGGAAGAGGAAGAAGAAGAAGGAGAAGAAATTCTGCAGTTCAAAGCCACAAACCAAACCACAGCATTTTACATTTCTCCTCCATTTGTTAAAGATGCTTTGGAAACTTTGCGCCATCACACAGTTTAATGCAGACCGACTAGAGGTTTCTGTTTGGAAATAAAACTGACAGATTTAAGAGAGGGAGAGGTGTCGGAGATCTTCTTGATGGCAAGGCCAACTGCTGAGAAAATGCAGGCTCCTATAAAGAAAGCTTGCTCTTCCCAGCTCCTAAGAGAGAGGCTAGGCCTCACCTGGAGAGACGGCCCAGATGGGCCTGGTGTCCGGGGTCAAGGCAAAGCATGGGCAGGGGCTCTAATGGGGATACAGTGGGGAATGGAAGGCAAGGTGGGATAAGCAAACACAGAGCTATCTGGTTATATATATATATATTTTAATATTTTGACAAACTCTTCAATATAGGACTGGCTCCTCTTTGTCCTGTACCTGGTCCTGGCGTGACTTAGAGCAGGGGGATGGGGACCTGGGTTGCCTGGTGCAAAGAGTTGGTTAGGGATATGATTCCAGATCGGTTGGACCGCCTTACAAAGGCCTGCTCACAGGCACGTGGTTTGCAACTTTCAGAGATTTGTTTAGCGCCAAGAGGTGTCAACACGTCATCCCCCACAGAAAATAACAGCGCGCGGGACGGGCATGTGTTTAAGCTGTAGCTCAAGC